CCGTGGCGGATGGCGTTGATGTGCTGTCGCTGTCGCTGGGGGGCAGCATTCCGAACTATTTTTCCGACATTGCGTATCTCAATGCTGCCAAGGTGAGATGGTGTTCTCTTGCCTCCTCGCCTCCCTTATAATTTCTAGACACTAGAACGACCACACAGGGGGAAAGGAGGAGGGGGTAGGGGGCGGCCGGCATGGATTCGGATATCCGGGCGGCAGTGGACACTGCTGTGGCGGATGGCGTTGATGTGCTGTCGCTGTCGCTCGGGGGAAGCATTCCGAATTAATTTTCTGATGTTGGTTACCTGAAAGCCGCCAAGGTACGATTTTTTAGGCGCCTAAAAGAAAGCCGCCAAGGTACGCTAACTTTTGAGCTCCCTGCTTACCAAGAGCATATGTTCAAAAGAATCAATTGTGGGTGTCGGATTGTCTGCACCTGCCTGCCTGCAGCCCCTCCATCCTTCCACTTTTAATACCGATGTATATCTCACAGAATCTTTGTTATATCTGCACACTCCTCCTGATAGGCCTACTCTGTGTAATGATTATATTTTTTACAGTAATAACATCAATGACCCGAAGTATAGCTATACAAATATACTAACTAGTAGTAGACGATTGATTATAACGATAGTATTGATGATGAAAGAAAACCTTGTTGCCTACACTCCGATGCCCTTCGTTTTCTTACGCACCTCAGGCCGGGGTATTCGTGGCGATGGCAGCAGGAAACTCTGGAGCTCCTTCCCCCGTCAAGGCTGTCGGCACCATAAGCAACGCATCGCCGTGGTATCTCACTGTTGGAGCCAGGTGACCCCCCGTCTTTCATGAGCGTCCTCTGCACATCAGTATTGATTTTCTTTAACCGCTAATTGTGTTTTTCTTACTTGTGCCATTCCCCTGTTACTGCTACATTTGTTATTGTGATTCCTCGTATAGGTGGTGTTGTTACAGCTATAGTTTCTGTAAACCACTACTAACAGTCAGGCCTCGTCCCTCCCTCCACCACCCGTTTTTCTCCTGTGGCAGCACCATGGGTCGAGACTTCATGGCTAACCTCACCATCACTGCTCTTCCCACCGCCGCTACAACCACTCCTGCCACAACTTCTCCCACCGCTACAACCGCTGCTGCCTCTTCTGCTGCCCCTGCTTCTGCTTGTGCCCCTGCCTCTGCTGCTTCTCCTGCCCCTGCTTCTGCCCCTACCCCTGCTTCTATTGAGTCTGCTTCTGCTACCACCACTGCCGAACCTGCCAGCCCCTTTCTTGAGGCTCCTTTTACCGAGAATTTGTCAACGGAAAACTTATTGAGTGGGAGCTCTCTGAGCAACAGCCCTTTTCTATCAGCATCAGAGGAGGCAGGGAGGGCAGCACTTGTGTTGTCGGGGTGGAGCTTCGGAGGCACGCACCTCACAGCCGACCTGCCGGTGCTGGATGCGAGGGACGCTGCTGCTAACGGTGCCAGCCAATCTCTGGTGAGTGCACAGGGCGCTTCTGTGCATGGGTGTGGGCATGGGTGTGGGCATGGGGGTGGGTTTGGTTGTGGGTATGGATGGGGTGGAGCTTTGGAGGCGCGCCCCTCACAGCTGACCTGCCGGTGCCAGTCACCATCTGGGTGTGGGCATGGGTGCTGGATGCCATGGATGCTGCTGCGGATGGTGCAAGTTTGTTTCTGGTGAGTGCATGCAGGGTTGCATTGCTGTGTGAGGTTGCATGGGTTTGGGGGGTCGCATGGGTGTGGAGGGGTGCAAGGGTGTGGGGGGGGGGTGTGCATGGGTTTCCAGCATAAACGCCTCCCTCACCCTCAACAGTCTCCTCCATAGCGCCCTCTCCTCTCGCCTGCTCATCCCCACTCCTCCCACCCGCTCACCGACCTTCTCTCTCCTACACCCCACTTCCCCCACCACCCTTTCCCCACCCAAACACCACAGGCCAGCCAATGCCATGCTCCCAGCATCAATTCATCCCTCACCCTCAACACGCTCCTCCTCTGCGCCCTCTCCTCTCGTCCTCTCACCGACGTGCTACTGGACGCCTCCACCCTTCGCCCAGCTGCCCTCGTGCTACTGGGGGCTACCGACACACCTCCCCGCCTACCCTACACACGCATGCCGGTCATTTATCTCAAGGCTTCTGATGCCGCTGCTCTCAGGACCTTCCTCGCTGGTACCACCAGGTATGCCTTCCCGCCACAGCTAGTGCTGCTGGGGGCTACAGACACACCTCCCAGCCTGCCCTACACGCGCATGCCTGTTATCTATCTCAAGGCTTCTGATGCCTCAGCTCTCAGGACATTCCTCAGCAGTACCACTAGGTATGTCTTCTTCTCTCCTCCCCTCTCCTGCCCCTTCTTGGGCGGAGGCCTCAGAGTTTCCCTCTCTTCCCCCCCGCCTGCCCTACACGCGCATGCCTGTGTTTTACCTCAAGGCTTTTGATGCCGCTGCTCTCAGAACCTTCCTCGTCAGGACCACCAGGTATGCCTACCCTTTGCGTCTGTTGAGGCGCCTCAGAATCCCCCTCTCTTCCCCTCCGCCTGCCCTTTACACGCATGCCAGTCATGTACTCCAAGGCTCCTGACACCGCTGCTATTCCGAAAATCTTCCTTGGCAGTACCACTAGGTTTTGTCTTCCTGACTGCTCCCCACCCCCTGCCCTCGCCACTTTCTCCTCTACCGCCCCCCTTCCCCTGTTCCTCCCTCCACATGCCCCCCATCACCAGTCACCAGGCGTCCCTGTCTCAGCCCTACACCTCCTCCTCCCCAGCCCCGACCATCGCATCTTTCTCCTCTACTGGCCGTCCTGTCAACCCCACCATCCCTCCCTCCTCTCACGCACTAATTCATTTCCTTCCCCCCCTCCCCCTTCACCTTCGTTTGCGCCCATCCCCCCCGTCGCTTTGCTCCCCTTCCCCCCATCACCAGCCACCAGGCATCCCTATCCCACCCCAAGCCCCAACCTCACCATTGCCACTTTCTCATCCACCGGTCCCCCAGTCAACCTCACCACGCATTCATGCATCCCTCCTGCTTTCCCGTTCCCCCTTCCCCTGTTCCTCCCTCCATACCACCCCATCCCCAGCCACCAGGCGTCCCTATCCCAGCCCTAAACCTCCTCCACCTCCCCAGCCCCTGCAATTGCCTCTTTCTCCTCCACCGGTCCCCCTGTCAACCCCACCACCCCCTCCTCCTCCCTCCCTCCCTACCTCCCAACCAACGACATCCTCAAACCTGACATTGTAGGCCCGGGATACCAGCTCTGGGCGGCCTACCGAGGCTCCAGCGCAGGCTCGGGAGGAGCAGCATCGGGCCCGCCCTCGTTCGGGCTCCTCTCGGGAACCTCCATGTCTACACCTCAGCTCGCGGGAATCGCGGCGCTTATAATCCAAAAGAAACCGGATTGGACACCGGCGCAAATAATGTCTGCAGTAATGACTACAGCGAGTATAGAAAACAACCAAGGGGGGAGGATTAAGAAGCCGAGTGGGAACGATGCGACGTGGTGGGATATGGGGGCAGGGCATGTAGATGCAGCTAGAGTGCTAGATCCTGGGTTGACGTTCAATGCGGGGTATGGTGATTATGTGAGCTTTCTGGCTGGCAGGAGCATGGCAGAGACAGCACGTGTGCTGAATGTTGGGAGGAAGAGGGGCGGGAAAAAAAGGGGCCACAGCCGCAGCAGCAGCAGTGGCGGAAGCACCACGGGCAGCAGCACAAACAGCAGCAGCAACAACGACAGCAGCAGCAGTGGCAGCAGCAGCACCAGCGGTAGTGGTACCAGTAACATCACCAGCAGCAGCAGCAGCAGCAGCAGCAGCAGCAGCAGCAGCAGCAGCAGCAGCAGCAGCAGCAGCAGCAGCAGCAGCAGCAGCAGCAGCAGCAGCAGCAGCAGCAGCAGCAGCAGCAGCAGCAGCAGCAGCAGCAGCAGCAGCAGCAGCAGCAGCAGCAGCAGCAGCAGCAGCAGCAGCAGCAGCAGCAGCAGCAGCAGCAGCAGCAGCAGCAGCAGCAGCAGCAGCAGCAGCAGCAGCAGCAGCAGCAGCAGCAGCAGCAGCAGCAGCAGCAGCAGCAGCAGCAGCAGCAGCAGCAGCAGCAGCAGCAACAGCAGCGGCAACAGCAACAGCATTGGTAGTAGAAAGGTCAAGCAGACTTCAGCAGCAAAGAAGCAAAGGTGGTGGCAGTGGCAGTGGTGGAGATGGGCACAGAGCGGTTCTCCCAAAAAAACATCCACCATCCGCTCCATCCCAGCAACGCATCTCAACCGTCCATCCATCTCAGTCTCTCAGCTTCGGGGAGTTACTGACATCCCGAGAACAGTCACCAACATGTACAATGCCACGTCAGCATACCAAGCCACAGTTACATCTCCTGCTGACGTGGACGTTCAGGTTATCCCAGACCAGTTTACGATTGGTCCAAGGCAGTCGAAGCGGTTTGTGGTTCGGCTGCAGCCGATTGGAGAAGCAGCTGAGGCTTGGGAGAGGTTCGGGTTTGGTTCGGTGAGGTGGGAGGATGAGCATGGCCATGTGGTGATCATGCCTTTAGTGACATAAATGAGTGCTTGAAAGTCGAAGCTGCAGAGCATACTTACCTTCCCTGCATGCAGTGCTGCAGTTCTGGTGGTGTCATTCCCCTCGTGCTATCAGGGGGGCTGGTTTTCAACTTCTCTCACACCAGCCAGTGTGGTATTCACACTGAGTGATGTGTACCTGGAGTTTTTTTCCCAGCTCTACGGGTCGTGGTATGGAGTGCTCCGCATGGAATTTGTACCTACTATGGTGGCTGCATCTTTACAAAAGCAGTGTTTATAATCATATAAAGGAAGAAAAAGGGCTTGCTGCAAATTGAATTCGTGAATGTCTAGGCAGATGGGAAGCTATGTACACTTGACTTCATTATTGAAACAATTTTCATGCAGATGCATTGACTTTATTGGCAAACCCCATATGCACATCAAGAACCACTGCTGCTCGGCATGGCATGAGATGGCATGGGCGAAGTGGGACGCGCGTTACTGCTCTTTCGGTTGACATCGGAGAGTGAACTCTGCAACGAGGGAGAAGTGGTCGCTGGGCCAGCGGCGAGTGGGCATGGCGCCGTTGTGGGCGAAGTGGGACACTGGAAGCACGTCCAGCACTCGCTGCACCTCCAACTCATGGGTGTGCCTGGTGGTGATTGTGGGAGGAAGGGGTGAAGGGGAATGGAAAGACAGTGTCATATGAGTCGACTAAAAAGGTTACCTTGTGACCTTTACAGCAAGTCAGAAGGTGGCAGCACGTCCAGCACCCGCTGCACCTCAAGCTCGTGACTGTGCCTGTTGGGAGTTAGAGTGGGGCGTCTCATAGTGTGGGACGCTGGCAGCACGTCCAGCACCCGCTGCACCTCAAGCTCGTGACTGTGCCTGTTGGGAGTTAGAGTGGGACGTCTCACTGTGTGGGACGCTGGCAGCACGTCCAGCCCCCGCTGCACCTCAAGCTCGTGACTGTGCCTATTGGGAGTTAGAGTGGGACGTCTCACTGTGTGGGACGCTGGCAGCACGTCCAGCACCCGCTGCACCTCAAGCTCGTGACTGTGCCTGTTGGGAGTTAGAGTGGGACGTCTCACTGTGTGGGACGCTGGCAGCACGTCCAGCACCCGCTGCACCTCAAGCTCGTGACTGTGCCTGTTGGGAGTTAGAGTGGGGCGTCTCACTGTGTGGGACGCTGGCAGCACGTCCAGCACCCGCTGCACCTCAAGCTCGTGACTGTGCCTGGTGGTGGTTGGGGGAGGAAGGGTTGAGAGGTTTTGAGATTCAATAACTGTTTAGAAAGGGTTGAGGAAGGGTTGAGAGGTTTTGAGATTCAATAACTGTTTAGAAAGGGTTGAGGAAGGGTTGAGAGGTTTTGAGATTCAATAACTGTTTAGAAAGGGTTGAGGAAGGGTTGAGAGGTTTTGAGATTCAATAACTGTTTTGAAATCTACCGCTGTTTTTCCTTTGCTTTAAGCCTCCTGCACGCACGCAGCTCACTGAGCTATGTCTGGATCTCGGTTGGGGGAGGAAGGGTTGAGAGGTTTTGAGATTCAAAAACTGTTTAGTCACCTTCTGTAGGCTCACCAGATGTAACCCATTCCAACATAGCCACGCTCACCAATTGTAACCCAAGGCCACCAGATGTAATCCACGCTCACCAAATGTAACCCACGCTCACCTGATGTAACCCATGCCTCACCAGATGTAATCCACAGTTCCACAGAAATTCGCATGGAATGACGTCAGCAACGGCTCTCCCTTGGGGCATGCATGACGATTCTCAGTCTGCCAGAACGGATTGATGATGTCAGCAAACAGAACGATGGCGTCACACAAACAGAATAACGGCGTAAGGAAGCAGAATAATGATGTCAGCAGCATGCAGAACAACAGGGCATGTGCATGTGCTGAGTGCTGAAGAGATTGTGACATTGATACATGCAGGAGTTTTGAGACATTTTGTACGAATTATTTAATTATTTGAGCCATTGTAAAAAACACCTACCATACGCATACCATCTCAACGAAAATGCATGAGTACATGAGGGGAAAGTGCATGAGTACATGGCCGTGTGAATATCCATGAGTTCAAGAGGGAAAGCCAATCTCACCGGTGCTTGGGAGTACGCGCTCTTGAGTTTCAGGGGGTGTCTTTTGAGGCGCCTCAAAAGGGAAAGCCAATCTCACCGGTGCTTGGGAGTAAGCGCTCTTGAGTTTCAGGGGGTGTTTCACAACAGTGTCCCTTCCATCACTCCCTGTTGCAATCCTTAGCTCCTCATAGGACCACCCCCCTGTTCCTCCCCTCCCTCTCACTGCTAGTCTCACCGGTGCTTGGGAGTACGCGCTCTTTAGTTTCAGGGGGTGTTTCACAACAGTATCCCCTCCATCACTCCCTGTTGCAATCCTTAGCTCCTCATAGGACCATCCCCCCACTCCCCCCCACCGCCCCATCCCTCCCACTCCTCTTCCCATCCCTCCCATCCCAGCCATCCCTCTCCATCCCAATCCTCCACCTCCCAGAGAAAACGTGCTTCCCCCCCACCCACTGCCATCATTGCCCAATCCTCCCACCCCCTCCTTCCCGTTCTCATTGACAGCCACTCTCTGCCGTTTCGCCTCTGAGATGGACACGAAACTTCCAGATGGCGTCGCACCATTGGCCGCTCCCTCTGGTGTGATGCTGCTGATGGTGGTAGCAGTGGTGGTAGCAGTTGTGGTGGCGGTGGTGGTGGTGGCACTCGTGGTGGTCTCAGCAGCACTGGATTGCTCTGTCGACCATTGTTGAGACACATGGTGAGACGATTGGAACCGCATTTGCTGCTGCCCCTCACCTCCCTCCAGCTGCCCTGATACCCTTCGCCGATCAGTGAGAGCCAGATCCAACTGCAAGGCAGGATGGGTGGGTGAAGGATGAAGGTGGAGAGGTGGAGAAGTTAAATGGAGGCGAAGGAGAACTGCAGGGTAGATCACCCAAACATATTTTAGAGTGTAATGAGTCACCATGGCATGGATGGACACAGATGTCACCATGGCATCGATGGACACAGATGCCACCATGGCATGGATGGATACAGATGTCACCATGGCATGGATGGACACAGATGTCACCATGGCATGGATGGACACAGATGTCACCATGGCATTGATGGACACAGATGTCACCATGGCTTCGGTCAAAGATGGAACTGGAAACAACAGCAGACAAAGAAAGGCAAATGTAGCACAATAACACATCCGCCTCTTCACCATAATTACTATTCAGCATTTGATAAGCCTACCTGTGATGAAGCAATGAAGTCATAGAGTGCACTCTGTAGCGGCAAGAAACACACACAGACAGTGCAGCGCATCCAGAGAGAAAAAATAAGAGGGAAAACGGAGTTTAAATTGCAGCTCCGCACGATGGCTTAAATTGGACAAGACGAGCAAAAATCCAGACAGTACAGCACACGCGGAGAAGAAACAAGAGAAAGAAACAAGAGGAAGAAACAAGAGGAAGAAACAAGAGAGAAAACGGAGTTAGATTGCAGCTCCGCACGATGGCTTCTTTTGAGGTGCCTCAGAAAACGGAGTGAAATGCAGCTTTGCACGATGGCTTGGACAAGGCGAGCACAAATGGGAAACGGAAGAGCATGAACGAGATTAGTGATTGGATGAACCTTCTTGTGGCCTCTAGTGTTGACTTGAGTTGACTCGAATTGACTTGTGCTAACTTGAAGTGACCTCGATTGAACTTACAGCAGGAGTGGCGTTGAAATCCCCGCACACCACGACCGGGCAGCTCCCATGCTTCTCCGACAGCTGGTGGGCGGCGGAGAGAAGCTGCGAGAGCTGCGCACCCTACCTTTGACTCCCGTTGACTTGCATTGACTTCAACCATACTCACCGCAGGAGTGGCGTTGAAATCCCCGCACACCACGACCGGGCAGCTTCCGTGCTTCTCGGATAGCTGATGGGCGGCAGAGAGGAGCCGTGACATCTGAGCCAGCTTGATGTCTCCTCGCTTGGGGTTGAAGAGCACGTGGATGTTGGCCAGAACGAGGCAGCTGAGGAATTGAGAGAGGGCGGAAAACGGAAAAGAAAAGATGCTCAGGCAGTTGCAGAGGGACAGCTGGGCCAGCTTGATGTCTCCGCGCTTCGGGTTGAAGAGCACGTGAATGTTGACCAGGACGAGAAGGCTGAAAGTTAGGCAAAGAAGAAGGTGGGGGAGGAGGGGGGGGAGGGGGTGGGAACGAGGGAGTGGAAACGGAGTGAAGCCGGGACATCTGAGCCAGCTTGATGTCTCCTCGCTTGGGGTTGAAGAGCACGTGGATGTTGGCCAGGACGAGACGGCTGTGGGATTGTGGTGCAATGGGGGTTGGGTGTGAATGGGGAGAATTGCACATCAGTGGGGCTTGTTTTGAGTCGACTCAAAACACGACTCATCAGTGGGGCTTCCAGGAGAGCCGAGCCACTGAAAAGAATGGAAGGGAATGGAGAGCCAGCTCTCATGGAATGGAAGGGAATGGAAGAGAAGGGGATGTGGAGCAGCATTCTCCTCCCTACTTCACTACCAGGTGCAAAGGGAAGAGTCAGCTGACTGACTGTTCTTTTTACCTTCTATTCTCTTCGTCCCTCTCTTCTCATTCTTTCAGTTTCTCATCTCCTTCCCCCTCCTTGCTTTTGCGAACTCTCAAAAAAGGACAAGTATTGCTACCAGGTGCAGAAGTGCAAAGGGCAAGGGCACCTGCTATCCTCTTCGTCCCTCTCTTCTCCTTCTTCCAGTCCCTCGTCTCCTTCTCCTTCCTTGTGTTCTCCAATCAACTGGTTGTGAAAAACGGGGCCACGCGGTGAGGTCATATGGGGAGGAAAGAGGCGGGTTTTGCGCAAAGCAAACAGAGAGAAACAACTTGACAGCTTTCAATTGACCAAAAGGTCAACCAGAGTCAACAACGTGATTCATTCATAACCAACAAGGACAATCAATGATTTTGAGACGTCTCAAAACTTCATTCATAACCAACAAGGACAATCAATGATTTTGAGACGTCTCAAAACTTCATTCATAACCAACAAGGACAATCAATGATTTTGAGAGGTCTCAAAACTTCATTCATAACCAACAAGGACAATCAATGATTTTGAGACATCTCAAAACTTCATTCATAACCAACAAGGTCAATCAATGATTTTGAGACATCTCAAAACTTCATTCATAACCAACAAGGTCAATCAATGATTTTGAGACGTCTCAAAACTTCATTCATAACCAACAAGGTCAATCAATGATTTTGAGACGTCTCAAAACTTCATTCATAACCAACAAGGACAATCAATGCTTTTGAGACGTCTCAAAACTTCATTCATAACCAACAAGGTCAATCAATGATTTTGAGGCGTCTCAAAACTTCATTCATAACCAACAAGGACAATCAATGATTTTGAGACGTCTCAAAACTTCATTCATAACCAACAAGGACAATCAATGATTTTGAGACGTCTCAAAACTTCATTCATAACCAACAAGGACAATCAATGATTTTGAGACATCTCAAAACTTCATTCATAACCAACAAGGTCAATCAATGATTTTGAGACGTCTCAAAACTTCATTCATAACCAACAAGGTCAATCAATGATTTTGAGACGTCTCAAAACTTCATTCATAACCAACAAGGACAATCAATGATTTTGAGACGTCTCAAAACTTCATTCATAACCAACAAGGACAATCAATGATTTTGAGACGTCTCAAAACTTCATTCATAACCAACAAGGACAATCAATGATTTTGAGACGTCTCAAAACTTCATTCATAACCAACAAGGACAATCAATGATTTTGAGACGTCTCAAAACTTCATTCATAACCAACAAGGACAATCAATGATTTTGAGACGTCTCAAAACTTCATTCATAACCAACAAGGACAATCAATGATTTTGAGACGTCTCAAAACTTCATTCATAACCAACAAGGACAATCAATGATTTTGAGACGTCTCAAAACTTCATTCATAACCAACAAGGACAATCAATGATTTTGAGACGTCTCAAAACTTCATTCATAACCAACAAGGACAATCAATGATTTTGAGACGTCTCAAAACTTCATTCATAACCAACAAGGTCAATCAATGATTTTGAGACGTCTCAAAACTTCATTCATAACCAACAAGGACAATCAATGATTTTGAGACGTCTCAAAACTTCATTCATAACCAACAAGGACAATCAATGATTTTGAGACGTCTCAAAACTTCATTCATAACCAACAAGGTCAATCAATGATTTTGAGACGTCTCAAAACTTCATTCATAACCAACAAGGACAATCAATGATTTTGAGACGTCTCAAAACTTCATTCATAACCAACAAGGACAATCAATGATTTTGAGACATCTCAAAACTTCATTCATAACCAACAAGGTCAATCAATGATTTTGAGACGTCTCAAAACTTCATTCATAACCAACAAGGTCAATCAATGATTTTGAGACGTCTCAAAACTTCATTCATAACCAACAAGGACAATCAATGATTTTGAGACGTCTCAAAACTTCATTCATAACCAACAAGGACAATCAATGATTTTGAGACGTCTCAAAACTTCATTCATAACCAACAAGGACAATCAATGATTTTGAGAAGTCTCAAAACTTCATTCATAACCAACAAGGTCAATCAATGATTTTGAGACGTCTCAAAACTTCATTCATAACCAACAAGGACAATCAATGATTTTGAGACGTCTCAAAACTTCATTCATAACCAACAAGGACAATCAATGATTTTGAGACGTCTCAAAACTTCATTCATAACCAACAAGGACAATCAATGATTTTGAGACGTCTCAAAACTTCATTCATAACCAACAAGGACAATCAATGATTTTGAGACATCTCAAAACTTCATTCATAACCAACAAGGTCAATCAATGATTTTGAGACGTCTCAAAACTTCATTCATAACCAACAAGGTCAATCAATGATTTTGAGACGTCTCAAAACTTCATTCATAACCAACAAGGACAATCAATGATTTTGAGACGTCTCAAAACTTCATTCATAACCAACAAGGACAATCAATGATTTTGAGACGTCTCAAAACTTCATTCATAACCAACAAGGTCAATCAATGATTTTGAGACGTCTCAAAACTTCATTCATAACCAACAAGGACAATCAATGATTTTGAGACGTCTCAAAACTTCATTCATAACCAACAAGGACAATCAATGATTTTGAGACGTCTCAAAACTTCATTCATAACCAACAAGGACAATCAATGATTTTGAGACGTCTCAAAACTTCATTCATAACCAACAAGGACAATCAATGATTTTGAGACGTCTCAAAACTTCATTCATAACCAACAAGGACAATCAATGATTTTGAGACATCTCAAAACTTCATTCATAACCAACAAGGTCAATCAATGATTTTGAGACGTCTCAAAACTTCATTCATAACCAACAAGGACAATCAATGATTTTGAGACGTCTCAAAACTTCATTCATAACCAACAAGGACAATCAATGATTTTGAGACGTCTCAAAACTTCATTCATAACCAACAAGGACAATCAATGATTTTGAGACGTCTCAAAACTTCATTCATAACCAACAAGGACAATCAATGATTTTGAGACGTCTCAAAACTTCATTCATAACCAACAAGGACAATCAATGATTTTGAGACATCTCAAAACTTCATTCATAACCAACAAGGTCAATCAATGATTTTGAGACGTCTCAAAACTTCATTCATAACCAACAAGGACAATCAATGATTTTGAGACGTCTCAAAACTTCATTCATAACCAACAAGGACAATCAATGATTTTGAGACGTCTCAAAACTTCATTCATAACCAACAAGGACAATCAATGATTTTGAGACGTCTCAAAACTTCATTCATAACCAACAAGGTCAATCAATGATTTTGAGACGTCTCAAAACTTCATTCATAACCAACAAGGACAATCAATGATTTTGAGACGTCTCAAAACTTCATTCATAACCAACAAGGACAATCAATGATTTTGAGACATCTCAAAACTTCATTCATAACCAACAAGGTCAATCAATGATTTTGAGACGTCTCAAAACTTCATTCATAACCAACAAGGTCAATCAATGATTTTGAGACGTCTCAAAACTTCATTCATAACCAACAAGGTCAATCAATGATTTTGAGACGTCTCAAAACTTCATTCATAACCAACAAGGACAATCAATGATTTTGAGACGTCTCAAAACTTCATTCATAACCAACAAGGTCAGTCATGGTAGGTACCTTGAGAACGGAACATTGTCTCTCAGCCCCACAGCTGCAAACTCGATGGACTGGAAGTCAACACAGGACCACCTGCGATGTGCATGCCGGAAGAGGAGGGGAGAGGATGGAAGAGGAGGGGAGAGGATGGAAGAGGAGGGGAGAGGATGGAAGAGGAGGGGAGAGGATGGAAGAGGAGGGGAGAGGATGGAAGAGGAGGGGAGAGGATGGAAGAGGAGGGGAGAGGATGGAAGAGGAGGGGAGAGGATGGAAGAGGAGGGGAGAGGAGGGGGAGATGAGGGAAACATTGGGGGTATATCTTTGAGGCCCCTCACTGACTGTCACCTCAAAGAAATCTTGATGGATTGGAAGTCAACACACGTCCACCTACGATGTGGATGCCAGGAGATGATGGAAGGGAAGAAGGAAGAAGAAATACTATTTTTGAGGCGCCTAACAAATAGACTCCTCACTCACCTGCGATGTGAATGCAGGAGATGATGGAAGGGAAGAGGTAAGAAGAAAGAATAGGTGATGATTCTTTTAGCCGCCTTAATGGTTCCCACCTCCATGCAAACTCGTTGGATTGAAAGTCAACAAGCGACCACATGCAGTATGTATGAAGGGAGAGGACACAGATGAGGGGGTGGGTGGGACCCACGTGGGGTGGGACACACGTGGGGTGGGACCCACGTGGAGTGGAACACACAACACATCCTTATTGATACTTACAGGTATGAAAGCGAAGATCTACACATACAAACAACACATGCAACAGAAGCCGCACGCCTCACCTCTTGGTATTCCAGAAGTTAGCGCAGCCATCCTTGTTGGCTCCCGTGCGACACTGGAAGGAAAACAATCGGAAAAGGAAAACAGTGAGACACACATGCATGGCACACACGCGCATGGGAACACGCACATGCAAACAGCTCGCCACACCCAAAATCAAGTTAAACTAGAACGAATCAATCAAATAAAATTAGATCGAGGTGAATCAAATAAAATATAATCAGCGCACCTGGAAGATGCCGCCATAGCCCAGCTTGCTTTTTGAATCAACTCAAACCAAACCGATTCAAATCAAATCAGCACACCTGGAAGATACTGTCATAGCCCAGCTTGTTCATCGCTCCACACAGATCCGCATGGCTATCCACCTCCTGTCATGCAACGCAACAAACCATTGGAGCTTCTTTTTAAGGAACTTGTTCACATGAAACTTGCAGCTTGTTCATCGCTCCTCCTACGGCGCATCATCACCCCCCCGAACCCATTACAGAGTGTAGGTTTTTTGGAGTCCAGTTCGAAGCCACTGAACCCTGAATCTTGCACTAAAAACCCCCAGATTCCCCAACCCTACCCGCAAGCAGATGAGATCCGAGGCATGCTGTTTGTTTTCCCTCACAAATTCATGCCTCCTCTAACTCAGATGGACCCTGAAACCCTGAAACCCTGAACCCTACCTGCAGGCATATGAGATCAGGCGAGTGCTGCTTGATCTCCTTGACAATGCCGTGCCTCCTCTGGTTCCAGTGCAGCACGCCTTTGGGCACCCCGGGGTACAGCTCACGGGCGAACTTGGTGGAGTGATACTGTGTGCCTAGGGGGCATCCGCTCACGGCCCAATCTCCCACTAGAATGAACCGAATAACCCCTGAACCTGGACCCTAAACCCTACCTGCAGGCAGATGAGGTCAGGAGCATGCTGTTTGATCTCCTTCACGATGCCGCGCCTCCTCTGGTTACAGTGTAGCACGCCTTTGGGCACCCCGGGGTACAGCTCTTTCTAGCCTTGAACCCTGCTGAAATCCTGAACCCCACCTGTAAGCAGATAAGATCAGGCGAGTGCTGCTTGATCTCCTTCACGATGCCGTGCCTCCGCTGGTTCCAGTGGAGCACGCCTTTGGGCACCCCGGGGTACAGCTCTCTCTAGCCTTGAACCCTGCTGAAACCCTGAACCCCACCTGTAAGCAGATAAGATCAGGCGAGTGCTGCTTGATCTCCTTCACGATGCCGTGCCTCCGCTGGTTCCAGTGGAGCACGCCTTTGGGCACCCCGGGGTACAGCTCTCTCTAGCCTTGAACCCTGCTGAAACCCTGAACCCCACCTGTAAGCAGATAAGATCAGGCGAGTGCTGCTTGATCTCCTTCACGATGCCGTGCCTCCGCTGGTTCCAGTGGAGCACGCCTTTGGGCACCCCGGGGTACAGCTCTCTCTAGCCTTGAACCCTGCTGAAACCCTGAACCCCACCTGTAAGCAGATAAGATCAGGCGAGTGCTGCTTGATCTCCTTCACGATCCCGTGCCTCCGCTGGTTCCAGTGCAGCACGCCTTTGGGCACCCCGGGGTACAGCTCACGTGCGAACTTGGCAGCGTGGCAGGACGCCAACACGTTGTAGCTCATCACACTCACTCTCACACGCTCGCCCCCTGCCTGCGCGCCCCCTGCATGCGCGCCCCCTGCATGCCCCTCTCTACGTGTGTCGGTATGTGCCTCTCTATGCACGCCTGCATGCGCGTCTCTCTGTGAGTCAGCCTGTGCCCCTGCATGCCTGTCTGCATGCCCCCCTGTTTCACATGCTTCCCCCTCCCTCTTCCCCTCCCCTCGCTCACCCCGCCAGCACCTGATCCACTCCCTCTTCTCCTCCCCTCCCCTCCCACCCCCTCCTCCCCACTTTCCTTTCCCACCCTCCCCCCTCCATCTCCCATGCTGCCCCTCCCCCCATTCCCATTTCTCCTTCCTTTCTTCCCCTCCTCCCCATCCCCCCTTCCCTTCTTCCTCTCCTCCCGTACCTCTGCCAGAATCCCAACTGCCTTTGGTCCCTTCTCTTCCTCCCTCTCTTCCTCCCCCCCATCCTCCTCTCCCTCTTTCTCCCCCTCGCCCTCCTCCCCATCTCCCCCCTCCTTCTCTTTCTCTCCATACACCCTGTCCCCTTTGCCCTCCTCCTCTTCCGTCCTGTTTTCCTCTTCCCCCCTCTCCTCCGCCCCTTCCTCCCCCTCCTGCTCCGCTGCCGAACCTAGCGGCTAGGCCTGGAGTTGAAACCGGAGGCTGGGACAGCCCCACACCTTGGGAATTTCCTTGACGGTTCGTAGAAAGCTGCTGGAAGGAATTCGAGAGCGAATTCGCAGATGAGATACCGAAAAACGGGGAGGGGATGGGCGCGGAGTGAGAAGGGGGAAACGCGGAGATGGATTGGGGAAGCGCGGAGTGGTTAGGGAGAAACGCGAAAGGGGGTTGGGGAAGCGCGGAGTGAGAAGGGGGGAAAGCGGAGAGGGAGTGGGGAAGCGCGGAGTTGGTTGGGGGAAACGCGGAGGTGGATTGGGGAAGCGCGGAGTGAGAAGGGGGGAGCGCGGAGTGGGTAGGCGGAAATGCGGGGAGGGATTGGGGAGGCGCGGAGTGGGAGAAACGGCAGCGGTGGCCAAACCGGCATCCGTCCGGGGAGAGGAAGCTATAGCACACCGGCGCAGATGTATTAGCCGGAGGCGCGGACGGATTAAACGAAGGTGGAGGAATAGCCGATCCGTTCCATCCACCGCCGCCGCCGCTCCCGCCGCCATTCACGCTGTTTTGATACCCCCTCCACGACATGGCGGGCCGCGACACAAGCACGGAGAGAAGCCCGATCGGCCCGCTAATCGGCGTTAGACGCGAGGAAGAGGAGGGCGGCAGAGAAAGCGGATTCAAGAGGGAACGTGAGGCTGGAGAGTTGGCGGTGATAGTGACGCTGAGCGCGTGGGCTGTGGTGGTGAAGCTCAGAGCGCGGATGGCGGGAGAACGATTCATCTGAAGGCACGAAACAGAAGCAGGTAAAACCCAGTTCTACTTACATTTTTTAATACACATTATAGATTAAGAGAGGTAATCTGCCGTGCCCCCGTAGCTCAGTTGGTTAGAGCGTTGGTCTTATGAGCCGAAGGTCGCGGGTTCAAGCCCCGCCGGGAGCAGATTTTTCCCACCACAATTGAAAATTAAATTTGTTTTACCCACACAGCAAGAAAGGGCAAGTTGGTTGGGTGTAACCCAGTTGCCTAGGGAGTCAACGGGTATACACCCAAACCTGGTCGTGAATGCGAGCCAGACGAAAATAGTGTCGCAAAGATGGAAACTCACTTTGGCCAATATCGCACAGCAATGTTGCGCAACACCAACTTCCACAAAAATGAGTACCAGGCAAAGAAACCTGTCCAAAAAACGCATCTGAGTTTCTAAGAACAACGTATAGACACGCTACGCACGCCAACTAGCATATATACCGCACTGAACGCTTGCGATAAGCTCATAAGACTAGAGGTACGCTTTGAAGGGATCGCGCCGACACTTCCGCCCACCCGCACGTGCGGCTCCGCGTTCGCCTGTTAGAAACTAAGAACAGTGGAATGAGTTTGACTAGCAGGAGATAGGTACAAGAAGGAATCTCTGGAAGTGTTGCACTCTATACTATGCACATCACAGCAGCCTAGCTAACCTAAGAAGCATACAAATATGGTTTAAGTGAGGGATATCAAGAGAGAGAAAAACCACACATGGTCACAAGACCAGTCAAGAAAAGCAACAGTGCAAAACTCATGGTGGATCTCAATATCACCACATAGTCCGAGCACAAGCAAGCGGCCACAAGGCCAGTTCACAAGCAGTGTTATAACAACAAAAGCATAACAATGATCACAACCTAACAAGTGTACACATGCAGGTATAGATATATATAACACAGTACGGCAAGACTAGAGCAAGTGAGGCAGAGTAGGCACAAGGCCAAGAGCAGTGCAAAAACGCTGGTGATCACCAGACCCAAGGGCCTTGGTGAAGATATCAGCAGTGTTGGCCTAGGAGGCCACATAAGAAATGCAACTCTCGCACGAAAAAAAGTAACGAAGGGCAATGTGCTTCGTTCTGCTCCTGACACAAGGCGATCATGACCATGTTGCCAGCGTACAGAACCGGTGCAGAACGAGGCTGCTCTCCCAAGTCGGTGAGCATGTAGGTCAAGCAGCATAACTCCTGCGCAGCCATAGCCTCAGCGTAGATCTCAGCCTCACAGCTGGGTCTGAGCACAGAAGATGAGCGAGTGGACCTCCACGAGACAGAGCCAAGGCCGAGGCTGAAAGCGTAGCCTGCGGAGGACTCCATAGTAACAACTAGGAGCGGAAGGAGCAAAGAACGACCAGGATAGGAGCGACAGGAGCTAGGAGCTAGGAGCGACTAGAGCTAGGAGTGGCCAGGCTAGGAGCGACCGGAGCTATGAGTGGCCACACTAGGAGCGGCCGGAGCGAGGAGTGCCGAGCTAAAGACGAGTGGAGCTGGGAGTGAGTGGAGCTAGGGGCGCCGGGTTTGAAAACCGTCGGTCGGAAACCTAATCTAAGAGGAGACTAAACCTAATTCGAGCAATTGGAAGGAAGAGCGGCTGCCAGCCGCCGTGGAAGATGCCAATAGCAGTAGGCTCGCCTTAGAGCTCGAGCACAGCAGCGGCGGAGAGGGGAGAGCTCGTTGCTGGGTGGGGTGCGCGCGTGGGAGCCGGGCTTAGCGCGTGGTGCAACTAAGGGGTAGTGCGCGGGGCAGCGCGGGGTAGTGCGCGGCTTAAGAGGGTTGTAGGTAGGTATGGGTGGGCGAGATCACTGCACTGGGCGCAACCGTGTGCAGGTGTGAGTTGGAGCTGCTGCGTGCGCTATGTAGGTAGCAGTAGTTGGTGTGATGTGCTCAGTTGCATCTGTGGGCGGCTAGGAGGGGGGCCGCGGGCGGGATGTGGCAGTCGCGTGCACGGCAGTTGCTGCGTGCGTGGCTGCTGCTGTGCACGGCAATGCCTGGCCTGAGGCGCACTGCTGCAGCAATACTCATTGTCTGAGGCGTGTTGCAGCAATGCGCGCTGCAGCAGTGCGCGCTGCTGCCTAGCCGTGCTGCTGCAGTGACATGAGCTGCTGCCTAGTCGTGTTGCTGTAGTAGCACGTGCAGCTGCCTAGGCGTACTCTTGGGATAACGCGGGCTGCTGCAGCAATGCGCGCGCTGCTGTCGGTGTCAAACTATATGTTTGTCAGCTTGTAGGCTACAGTGAGGTTCACACTAGAGGGGATAACCCAATTAGGGTTTCCTACTTGCATCTAACTGGTGCCTAGTTCATTCATTCCACATTCCTAACTTTGACATGGTTTTAGAGCATGTCCCATTCTAGGACCGTTTTTTTTTTTGGGCCCACCGATTAGTTTCGTTCCAGCCCGGCGTTCGTTTTTGCCCTGCCCTGCCTAGTACGCTATCGCGCTGCTGCCCTGCCCTGCCCTGCCCCGCGCGGTCGCGCTGCCCCGCACACGCTGCCCCGCACGCGCTGCCCTGCTCGCCACGCACGTGCCCCGCCCAGCGCTTTCGCGCTGCCCTGCCCTGCCCTGCCGCGCGTGCTGCGCTGTTGCGCACGCTGCCCCAGCACCAGCGCGAGCCGTGCTACCCAGCGCCTGTGCGCGCCCTGCTGCCTAGCGCCCACGCGCGCCCTGCTGCCCCTTCCGAGCGCGTGCCCCGCTGCCCAGCGCCCGCGCGTGCCCTGCTGCCCAGCGCCCGCGCGCGCCTTGCTGCCCAGAGCCAGCGCGCGCCCCGCTGCCATGTGTCCGCACGTGCCCCGCTGCCCAGCGCCTGCGCGCACCCTGCTGCCCTGCGCCCGCGCGTGCCCCGCTGCCCAGAACCAGCGCGCGCCCCGCTGCCCTGCGTCCGCGCGTGCCCCGCTGCCCAGCGCCAGCACGCACCCCGCTGCCCAGTGCCCGCGCGTGCCCCACTGCCCAGAGCCAGCGCGCGCCCTGCTGCCCTGCGTCCGCGCGTGCCCCGCTGCCCTGCGCCAGCACGCGCCCTGCTACCCGGCGCCCGCGCACGCCTCGCTGCCCTGTGCCCGCGCGCGCCCTACTGCCCAGCGCCAGCGCGCGCCCCGCTGCCCAGCGCCCGCATGTGCCCCGCTTCCCTGTGCCCGTGCGCGCCCCGCTGCCCAGCGCCCGGGCGCCCCTGCCCGCGCACAGGTGCTGCCGCCTGCTGCCGCCCTAGGTGCTGCTGCCCTAGGTGCTACCGTGTGCTGCTGCCGCCCTTGGTGCTGCTGCTGCCGCCCTAGGTGCTGCCGCCTGCTGCTGCCCTAGGTGCTGTCCCCCTAGGTGCTGCCGCCTGCTGCTACTGCCCTAGGTGCTGCTGCCACCCGCGTGCGCTGCCCCGTGCTGCCTTGTCCCGCGCTAGCGCCGCCTTGCCCCGAGTGCTGCTACGCTGCTACTACTGCCTGTGCTACTGCTGCTGCTAAGCTGCGGCTGCTGCAACTAGCTGCCACTGCCTGCCATGGCCATTACCACTGTCCTACGTCAGTGGCAGCCGAGTGTGCAGGAGTCTCTCTTGCCGCAGCAGCTTCGCGAGTGGGCTATCTGGTGGGGCAGCCTCGGTGGCGGAGCTAGCTGTGCTAGAGCTGGAGGTGCTGGTGCTGGTGGTACTTGTCCTTGTTGGCAGGAGACACTCTCATTGCAGCAGATTCGCAAGAGGGCTGTCCGGTGGGGCAGCCCCGGTGGTGGAGCCTGGGGTGCTACTCCTGGAGGTACCTGTGAGTCTACTCCTGCTGGTAGTGCCGCTTGTAGACGCGGAGGTTCTGGGGGTGGACAGCAGCAGCAGCAGCGCCCGCCGGAGACTCTCTCCGCGCAGCAGCTTTGTGAGTGGGCTGTCCGGTGGGGCAGCCCTGGTGGCGGAGGGTCTCGGGGTACTCGTTCGGGGGGTGTAGAGGCACCTGGTGGCATAGAGGCTACTAGTCTTGGTGCGTGTGACTCAGCTAGCACAGGTGGAGAGTCTGAGGAGGCCTTGCACTCTTTCACTCTAGACTCAGGTGCGTCTCGCTGCTTCTTCCGCGACTGCACCACAGTCACACCGCTCATAGTCCCGGTGCCTGTCACTCTGGTCGACCCCTCTGATGGCCCAGACGTTGCACGTGGCTCCACTGTTCTCCCGTGTCCGGCATCCCCCTCCGGTTCCCTCTCATGTCTCCACCTCCCCTCGTTCGCTAAGAACTTGGTGGCTACCGCTGTCCTACAGGACCAGTGGGTCACTGTCACCCAGCCTGGAGGAGAGCTCGTGGCGATCTGTACGGACTCACGCACTGGCGAGCACCTTGCCACGTTCACTCGGAGGCTCGGGTATGGTCTGTACACACTGACCACTGAGTCTGCACTGGTAGCTGAGTCAGGTCTGGTACTTGCGTCGGTTGAGGTCGCTGCGTTTTGTTCGTGTCGTCTCCTCACGCACCAAACTCTCCTCTGGCACCACCGTCTTGGCCACCCCTCCTTGCCACGCCTGTGTAGCATGCACTCCCGTCTCCTTGTGTCTGGTCTCCCCAGGTCCCTGCCCCCACTTCCGAGGTTGCTTGCACCGCCCTGCCTTCCCTGCGTCGAGGGGCGGCAGCGCGCTGCTCCTCTCTCCTCCTCGTTTCATCCTACCACTGCTCCTCTGCAGACCCTCCACATGGACGTGTGGGGCCCCACCCGCATCACTGGACAGGGTGGCGAGCGCTACTTTCTGCTGGTTGTCGACAACTACACGCGCTACATCACGGTCTTCCCCTTGCAGAGCAAGGCAGAAGTCCGCGATATCTTGATCCGCTGGATCCGTGCTGTCCGTCTCTAGCTTCGTGCTCGGTTCCAGGAGGACCTCCCAGTCCTGTGGCTGCACTCTGACCGAGGTGGTGAGTTTTCCTCCCACCTCCTTGAGGACTTCTGTGGTGCTGAGGGCATCGTCCAGTCGTTCATGCTTCCGGCCTCTCACAGCAGAATGGGATTGCCGAGCGCCGCATTGGCCTGGTCATGGAGGCTGCTCCCCATTTTCTGTGGCCATTTGCGGTCCGATACGCCGCGCATCAGCTCAACCTCTGGCCCCGTGTCTCCCACCCGGAGACCTCACCTACTCTGCGGTGGACGGGTGAGGTTGGCGATGTGTCGGAGTTTCGGGTATGGGGTTCCATCTCTCTTGTCCGCTATCTGCCTGCGGGCAAGCTCTCCCCGCGCACTCTTCTGTGCGTGTTCCTTGGCTTTCCCACCGACGCACCACCCTGGCAGTTTTACCACCAGGGATGTCGTCGTGTGCTCTCCTCCCGCGACGTCACTTTTGACAAGTCCGTCTGCTTCTACCGTCTTCACCCCCACCGCAGTTCCCCGATACCCCTCCCGCCTCTCTCCCTGGTTGTCGAACCCCCCCCCCCCCCGGTAGCCCCCCTCCCTCCTCCCGGTCTTGCTCCCTCAGGAGTGTCTCAGGTAGACCCACCCCCCTTGGTTGAGCCTTTGGAGGTCTCCTCTGACACCTCTGGCCCAGCTGAGGGGGGTGACCCGATTGCTGCCGACACTGTGGCCCCTCGCCGCTCCGCGCGCTTGGCGGTCCCTCCTGGTCTTCTGCCTTGACCGTCTTCACCGCCTCTGCAGACCGTCGCTGTGGACTCTGGTGCTGCTGGGGGTGTTGACACTGGGGGTGCGGACTCTGGGGGTGCTGGCTCTGGGGGTATTGCGTGTCCTACGGGTACAGGAGGTGCTGGTGGTGCTGGTGCACGTCGGCAGGGGACTCTCTCGCCGGAGCGGCTTCGCGAGAGGGCTGTCCGGTGGGGCAGCCCCAGTGGCAGCGCTGGACGTGCTGGAGCTGAAGGTCCTGGAGGTACTGGACCCGGAGGTGCTGATATTCCAGGAATGTCGGCTGAGTTTCCCCCTGAGACATTCGAACCGTCAGGTGAACCCCCATCCGAACCGTCAACAGGTTCGCTGTCATCGTCGTCGTCCGTGTCAGTGGGGCTGCTCTCGAGGTCGTTGTCGTCTAGCTCCGGCGCGGTCGCCGCCAGCCTCGCCACGCCGCCGCGGTAGTTGAGCACCGGCGGCACCGCCGCCAGGTGCACTATGTACTGTTTGCGCAGGGGCGCCGCAGCGTTCGCGCGCGTGGCTGTGGAGAGGGAGGTGGGGAAGGTTGGGAGTGAGGGAGGGGGAGCGGGGGTGAAGCGGAGAGCGAAACGGTCGCCGCGCACCCTTGCGCACAGCTGGACGGGTGCAATGAGCATCATCAAGAGAGTCCGGAAAACAAATGAACAGAAGCAAACCTGCTTCAAAATTACAATGGTTCTCGGCGAGAATCGAGCTCCTTACCTCTGCATCGCGGAAAAGGCAATCGCAAATTTTTTGGCTCCTGTAGGTTTTTCAACAAAAAAGCATACATAATGTCCCAAGAACATACAAAACATCCCAGAAGTTGATGTGATGGAAATGTCACACCCGCGTAATGACAAAACTGTGACAAAAATGTCATGATTCAGTGACGCAAAGCTGTTAGCCGCAAACACACTGGGTTGGTCTGGTTGGATATGGAAATCAAAGTGGTTAAGAGCGTTTGAACGCGTTTGCTCTTAGTGTTGCTCACCCAGCTCATCGAACCAACTTTGTGTACAGTGATCGCGAGGCATGCGAACCCACACGACCGCTAGCGAGGGAAAAAAAAATCGGGGCACCAACATTATTTGACATCGTAAGAACATGACGGAAATACTTCTGCCACGTACAACATCACCCTAACCAAATATTTGGGACGTGCCACGTCACAAAATTGGTAACCACCCATATCTCCGGACCAATTGGCCGAACCTCGCGAGTCCGTCCCAACCAATTGTTGCAACGCACAAAAAGAGGATCAACACCCACAGCCCCCCCTAACCACCCACACATCAGCCAATCGAACCTCGAACCCACAGAAACCCCAGCCCCCCTCCACCCCCCTCTTGTCATACAAATGCTCTATGCCTATCACGGTTTTCTCACTTTCTCTGCAAGTTGTAGGTTTGGTCTTCTGTTCAAGTCACACTCCTCAAGTCGTTCTGCTCCTCACCACACTCAGGGCTCCATCTCTTCAAGCTCGAGGCATGAACTCTATGCCTAGAGCTTTCGCCATAATTGATACTTTTGAAGCTACCCTGCACTCTGCATCCACGCAGTCCCTAATAGTGAATCAACACGAGAGGTTACAATTTTTGAACAGGGAAACGGGGTATTGCATGTGGCAGTATTGGGACATGTTAAATTGCGTAGATTGCTACATTGTTGCGTGATTCAATTGGCGCTTGTACTAGGAGTAATAATATTTTCAGCACAACCGCCATGTCAGTAGTATGTTAGCCCCCCAATCCCGTACCCTACGACGTCGAGAGTCCTCATGCGACGAATGCCACCATGCAGACGATGGCCAGCCAACTCAACACCTTAGTCACCGACCATTTCGCAGGATCGCTAGGCGACACATTCCGTCGCACGCCGGTCGCCCACGTCGCAGTGCGAGAGCAGGCGATCGTGCGAATCATCTCGACCTTCCTCCAAAAAGGAGCTGAGATCCTCTGAAGAGCACGAATGTCTCAACCTTGTAGAAGTCGACACCTTCTTACAAATTCAGATTCACACTCATCGCGGACTTGTCAGAGGGCTAAAAAATAGAATTGTAGGTTTTTCACCCAAAAAGCTGCAGGAAGGTGCATGTCGTCTCCATAAATCTACGTGGGCGAAAGTAACTTTTGAGGTGCGAGCGCACATATGACAAAAAATTCACGCTGTTTCAACTTTCTAGTGGGGCCAAACAGTTGATCGCAAATTTGACAAGAAGGCTGCCTGACATTTGTTTTAGAGTTTGGTTCAAAAACGTGTCCGCGAGGTGAAAAGCGATACAAGTCGGTAAATCCAACTTCAGAATATGATTTGGCGTGGCAAGGTTGTTGAATACTGTTCCCGAAATCAGGGTGCCAAGACGAAATACTAACGAGTAAATATACGTGGAAACAAACTTCGTGATTGTCGCCAACTAAGAGACTAGGGGCAAGCCACCCGCGAACCCAAACTACAGTGCCCTTCGCAGCAACCACTCCATCCCCGTGTACTGTATCAGAAAGATCACAGCCCAAGCTACACGTCATTGCCGAACACCACGCGCCAAACCTGCTACAGCATGAGCTATGTTTCCCGAACCTAAAGAAAAAAACGTTTCAACCAATCGGAGTTGCACATGAAAACGAGTAGACCAATCCCCACCGTCCCTTATCTACACGTCATCACACACACCACCGAAGCACTCAAAACATCCGTCCTCCCTACATTCCCCTTTCAAGCAGTCTTCATCCGTACAAATTCCCCCTATCAACCTCATTTCTTTCTGAAACCATGCATTTGTTGGACATTTCTTTCAGCGTGGCATTCGCTGTCAGAAGAATGAACGAGAATGAATGAACAATGAAACAGTTGGGTACAAGTACTAACCCTAATTGGGTTGTACCCCTTATGGGCTACCCCACTATAGCCTACACAATTATAAGCAATATAACATTCTGACACACCCCCATAGGCAAAGTGGGGGAGAACAAGCAGTCACAAGACTAGTCAAGAAAAACAAAGCAAGCTCAGGGTGGATCACAAAGTCACCACACAGTTTGAGCACAAGCAAAGGGCCACAAGGCCAGTTCACATGCAGAGTTATATAAAAGAGAACAAACAATACAGTGATCATACCCTAGCAAATGTAAGCATGATTGTATATATATATGTATATATCACAGTACAAGCAAAGTCGCGCAGTAAGCAAGTGAGGCAAAGTAGGCACAAGGCCTAACATAGTAGAGAAGCGCTGATGATCACCAGGCGGAAGTGCCTTGGTGAATATATCAGCAGTGTTAGCCCTAGTGGCCACGTACGCAAGACGAAGCTGGCCACGCTGCTGCAACTCTCGAGCAAGGAAGTATCGCAGAGCGATGTGCTTCGTTCTGTGCTCCAGTCTGTGCTCCTGACACAAGGCAATCATGGCCTTGTTGTCTACGTACTGGATTGGAGGTGAACGAGGCTGCTTTCCCAAGTCAGTCAACAGGTAGGTGAGCCAGCGTAGCTCCTGTACAACCATGGCCCCGGCGTAGATCTCAGCCTCGCAACTGGAGCTGAGAACAGAAGACAAGCGGGTAGATCGCCAGGAAACAGAGCCGGAACCGAGGCTGAAGGTGTAACCCTGTGAAGACTGTTGCGTAGCTGAGTCGTCAACCCAAGAAGCGTCTGCGTGACCAGTGAGGACAACTGGACCCTGTCCTCCAAGCACAAGCCCCATGCCTGACGTACTACACAAGTAACGCAGTACCCTCTTCGCAGCATCCCAGTGCACCTTTCGGTGCCTACCAGGAGCCATGTAGCGAGCCACGAGGCTGAGAGGGTACGCGAGGTCAGGTCGTGTGCACACCATCAGGTACATGAGGCAATCCACAAGCTCTGGGTATGGACCACTCGGCTCTACGGACTCGTCCGAAGGTGGAGCTGAGAGCAAGTGGCCGGTAGACAGAGGAGTGGGCTGTGGCGAGGAGAACTGGAAGCCGAAGCGCTGAAGGACCTGGTGCACCATGTGTGACTGAGTAAGTGTGATGGTGCGCCGTGCTATGTCCCGGGTGATATGCAAGCCAAGATAGCTACGCAGTTCACCCAGGTCAATGCAAGTGTGTCTCTTCTGCAGCTCCGACTTCACAAGGGCAAGTGCCTCAGTGTCAGTAGTGGCAAAGACGAGGTTGTTGACGCACACGATGACGTAGAACGGCGGCAGCGACGTGTCGGTGCATAGAAACAGCGACGGGTCAACAGTAGAAGGAGTAAACCCCAGAGCAGCAAGTGTAGTCCTCACTGTGTCGTGCCACTCGCGAGGTGCCTGGCGGAGACCGTAGACTGGCCGCCAGAGGCTCCACTGGGTACCTGCAGGAAACGACCCGGTGAAGCCAGGTAGGCGGCGCAGCCATATCTCCTCGTGCAGGCTGCCCTGCAAGAAAGCTGTGCTGAAGTCAAGAGAGTGTAACTTGTAGTCACGCTGAGCAGCGACGTGCAGTAACACCCGAAAAGTAGTGATCTTCGGGGTGGGGGAGAAGGTCTGGAAGTAGTCGACCCCCTGTCGCTGACTGAAGCCTCGAGCAACGTAACGAGCCTTGAAGGCAAGCGGAGAACCCGGCGGCCGCTTCACCCTGAAAATCCACATGCCATGGACTATGTTCGCCCGAGACGGGGGAACTGCGTCGACGTAGGTGCCTGTGGACTTCCAGGATGCCATCTCGGCATCCATGGCTGCCTGCCACTGAGAGGATTAGGGACCCATAATCGCCTCTGCGTAAGAGCGCGGGGTCGGGATGTCTGGTGCATCCGGGTCTCCCTCAGGGGCAAGCAGCATGGAAGTGAAACGAGGTACAGCAGCTGCAAGACACTCAAAGTCCTCCTGCATGTCCTCAAGGACGTCCGTGCCAAGAGCACACTCACGTCCGACGGATTGAGGACTGGCAGACTCAGACGCAACAACAAGAGCAGTGGCGTAGTCTAGACGACAGGCAGCAGCAAAGTCTAGCTCAGCAACGAGGGCAGACGCAGCAGTGGACTCAAAAGAAGGGTCAGTGACAACAGTGGAAAGGAGATGCGAGACAGTGGGACTGGCAGCACGAGCACGGTCAGACTCAGGGTCAGGGACGGCAGGAAGAGAGGACTCAGGAGGAGGCGGCAGAGGAACACGCAGTGGAACAGAGGAAGGACGAAGTGCCATAGCGTGTGTGCCAGGGACAGGAGGACGAGGATGAGGAACGCGACGAGTGCAAACAGGGGAGGTAGGACGAGACGCAGGCTCACGACGCTCTGTAAGTCCGCCGGTCTGCTCAGTGTAAGGAGAAGGAGCAGGCAGTGGGGAAGCTGGCTGTAACGGCGGCTGCGACTAGTCAGGCGGCGGACACAGCAAAGGAGGAGGAATGCTAGGAGAAGAAGGGACACCAAGAACCTGCTGAAACAGGGGAACGAAGTACGGTCTCGGCCGCACAGTGCCTCCAGCACCTCCAGCTCCAGGGTCAACAACTCCAGCTTCTCCAGCTCCAGCGCCTCCCGTGCCAGTGCCTCCAACACCAGCGCCAACAGCTCGAGCTCCTCCAGCCACAGCAGCTCCAGGCTCCAGAGGGTCTCCAGCTCCAGCTCCCCCAACACCTCCAGTCCCGGCAGCTCCAGTACCCCCGGTACGAGCACCTCCAGGACCAGC